GGGCTCAAGCAATCCTCCCAGCTCAGCCTCCTGAGTAGCTAGGACTATAGGCACATGCCACCACATCCAGCTAATTTTTAAATTTTTGTTAGAGAGGGACTCTCCCTAGGACTCTCCCTATGTTGCCCAGGTTAATGTCGAACTCCTGGTGTCAGGTTATCCTCCTGCCTCGCCCTTCTGAAGTGCTGGGATAACAGGCATGAGCCACTGTGCCCAGCCCTATTTCACTTTTTAAAGAGAGCTAAAAATTTGTTTACAGTGACATCCAACTCCTGCAATGGTATGTTCATTTTCCTAGGAAATAATGATTAACTCCACATTGAATTTCTTTGCCTCCTTTGTTTTTTTGTTCTATCACTATCTCCATAAGCATCAAAAAACTAACTGAGATGATTTAAAAGAAATGGATAGTATTTTGTAAAATACTAGTAATAAAAGTAAATGAGAGCATGTCTCATAATATGAGAGACTTTTTGAAAGGATGTGAAATTCATACGTGGGTGGGGGAAGATTTCTCACAAAGAGTTTAGGATTACAGAAGTAAAGGTTTATTTTTCTGAGAAGGAAAGAAAGAGAGCACAAAAGAGAGAGAGAGAGAGAGTGAGTGAGTGGCCGTGGCACACAAATGAAGGAGTAGAAATGCCAGGCCCCTGCAGGAAAGTCACTTGGAGTTTTAAAGGGTAAAAATGGCTTTTTCCCCTTTGCTTTAGTAGACTGATAACAGAAGCGGCAGCAAAGCTGTTGCAGGTGTTCCTTATTTTCTCTCTTTTCTCTGTGAGGGCGGCTTGTCTGAGTCCTTGGAATCTGGTTTTTGGCAGGAACTGAGGCAGAGTTGGAGCGGGGAGCTCATACCCCTACTGTCTGCTTAGGGATCTTCAAGGCTGAGAAACAACTCTTAGTGATAATGAGTTAGGCCACAGGTGTTTAATTAAATAAAACAAAGGGCAGTTGTACTGTGAGTTTATTTCTCCTTCTGTTTGATAGTTTATTTTCCTCTGTTGATTAATAGGAAAGGCACCTTTCACTTTGGACCTGGATATATTAATGTGACTTCTTTTCTGGGGAATGACTTTTGAGGAATAAAATCTTGCCTTATATTTTGGCATATACGGTATTTGTTTGCATATCTGTCCTTACACCCAAGCCCCATCTCCAGACTGTAAGGCATTTAAAATAAAGCCTGAGGCCGGGAGTGGTGGCTCGCACCTGTAATCCTAGTACTCTGGGAGGCCAAGGCGGACGGATTGCTTGACGTCAGGAGTTTGAGACCAGCCTGAGCAAGAGCGACACCCCCATCTCTACTAAAAATAGAAAAAGGTAGTCAGGCATGGTGGTGAGCACCTGTAGGCCCAGCTACTTGAGAGGCTGAGGCAAGAGGATCGTTTGAGCCCAGGAGTTTGAGGTTGCTGTGAGCTAGGCTGACACCACAGCACTCTAGCCCTGGCAACAGAGCCAGACTCTGTCTCAATAAATAAATACATACATATATACTGAGTCTTATTACATAAATATAAATACAATATTCATAAATATATTTACTAATTATTATCTCTGAGAACATAGCTTATTTGGTAGAGTTTATAGGTATATGTTAAAAGATTGCCTTTTCCGTAACTGAGTTTTTCCAAATAGTTCACTAATAGTATTAACTTTCTGATTTGTATTAATTTGTTCAAGGTATCTAGCAGAGTGGAAAAGAATTATGATGATCTTTTTGATGGAGATGATGCAAGTAATGCTGGTGATTTTCTAAATGACAATGCAGTTGAGATCCCCTCTTTTTCAAAAGGGATTATAAATGATGATGAGGATGATGATGACCTCATGATGGCCTCAGGTCGTCCTAGACAGCGAAGTCACATCCTAGAAGATGATGAAAACTCAGTTGGTATGAATTTGACTTGGTGCATGTGATAATCCACCCTGTTGATTAATGTTTTTGATTTTTTAATTAATGCTATTATTTAAAGTCATTATTGGATTTGTAGAATGTAGCTAACTAAAGCAGTGCTTGGAGGGAATTTTATAGCATTAAATGCTTATGTTAAAAAAGGTTTCGAATCTATGACCTAAGCTTCTGCTGTAGCAAACTAGAAAAAGAAGAAATTAAACCCCAAGCAAGCAGAAGGAAAGAAATGATAAAGAGCAAAATTCAATAAAATTGACAACAGAAAAACTATAAAGTCAATGAAACCAAAACCTCTTTCTTTGAAAAGACCAATAAAATTGATAAGTCTCTATCCTGACTGATTAAGAAAAAGGCAGAAATTACTAATATAAGCAATGAAAAAGGAGTCATCACTATAAATCCTGTGGGCTTACGCTATCCAGTGTGGTAGCCACTAGACACAGGTGGCTATTGAGCACTTGAAACATGGCTAGCCTTGACTGAGACGTGTTGTAACTATAAAATGCAACCAGATTTTGAAAGACAGTAAGAAAAAAATGAATGTAGAATATCTAGTAAATTTTTTATTTTGAGTACATGTTGAAATGGTATTTTAAAAGTAGTATATTATTAAAATTAATTACATGTTTCTTTTTAGTTTTTAAATATAGCTGTTAGAAAATTTTAAATTACATCTGTAACTCACATATTTTGGTATGCCAGCAGTTATTGGTAACAAAAGAATAACAAGAATATTATAACTTTGTCCTCATAAATTTAAGAAGAAATGGACAAATTCTTTGAAAGATACAAACTACCAAGCTAACTGAAGAAGAAATAGATAACCTGAATAGTATTGTATCTATTAAAGAAATTGAGATTATAATTTAAAACCTTCAAATAAAGTGCCTGTCACAACAACTTACATGCTAAAATAACACATTTGAGCATCATCAAGTAAAATGCCAATATACAGTGTTAAGTTGTGCTACATTTAAATCATGGTTTACAGAACAGCAGTCCTCATTGTTTTGGTCTCAATAGCCCTTTACACTCAAAAAAATTTTGAGGACTTCCAAAGAACATTTATTTATGGAGTTATATCTGTTATTTATCAGAAATGTTTAAGTATTTATTCACTTAAAATAACAGTAATAATCTCATGTAAACATGAATAACATTTTTTTATGAAAAACAAGAAAATTTGGTAAGAAGAGTAGCATTTCAGTCTTTGCCATGTCTGGCATAAGAGGACAGGTGGATTCTCTCATCTGCTTTTGGATTAAGTCTATTGCCATATATTGTTTTTGCTTGAAGTATATGAAGAAAATTTGATCTGACACAAATACGTAATTTGGAAAAGGAGACATATTTTAATAGCCTGGTCAGATAATTGTGGATACTCTTTGATACTGCACCAAAACTTAGCAGATGGTAATTTCTTAAAGATTACTTGCAAAGTGGAATCTGAAAACTTCAATGAACTTTTTCAGCTATTTTACATTAAAATCCACTGGTCTCACTTGAACTTTTAATGGACTTTTTAACCACGTTTGATTTTGCAACATATGCATTGGTTTTGTCAAAAATTGGCTCACTGAGGTTTGCAGACCTTCCTAATATTGACATCTCATCCAATATAAATTATATTTGTTAGTATCATCACCAATCTTATCAGAAGTTTTTAAATATTAGAAAGTTATTAAGCTCATAGTGGCAAATAGAAGTTTTCCAATACTTTAATTTTTGCTTGAAAGCTGAAATTTTATCATTGGCAACAAATGCTATCAGTTTTTCTTAAATGACAAGTTCCCTTCATTCATTTCCAAGAAAATGTTTGCCAGATACCCGAGTCTGCATAAGCATAGTTTATCTGGCATTTTTTTTTTTAAAGTAAAGTGGTATTCTGTGAAAAATCACTTAGTTCAGCTTGCAACTCAAACAATTGCACAAATGCTTTTTTTCAAGACAACCATCATACTATTTTATGCATACTTCCCATTTTAGCACACAGAACTTTTTTTTTAAATCTGTATAAGGATCAGTATTTAATCACAATATTTTTACTACAAGTGAGTGGTGGTTAACAATGGAATGACTGTTAATATAGTTTCATGCCACTGCCTTGATTCATGCAAAGGCACTGGGAGTTTTGTACCATCACTGCATCTCTTTAACACAGCGAAAGAGGCAAATACCATGTTGGTGTCATCAAATATGAATGGAAAAGTTATTAGATTCCACAATGCTTTTTCTTTTTCCTGGTCATTGGTATTTATGATTCTCTTAAATATAATCCATTGTATTGTAGATGTTACAGTGCTAAAAACTGCTTCTAGTCTTCTCAAAGAAGAGGAGGAAGATGATCAGGAAGGCAGCATTCACAGTCTACCACTTGTAACATCCCACAGGCCATTTTATGAAGGACCCATGCCAACTCCCCGGCAAAAGCCATTCCAGTCAGGTTCTACACCCTTGCATCTCACTCACAGGTTCATGGTAAGCCTTAGTTCTACACTCAACTTCTAAATAGCTTTTCAAGCATTTAATTCTCACTATAGTTGATTTTGTTGGATAAAACATATTTTTAAAAACCTTAATTAAATGGCTGGGAGCACTTTGGTTCATTTATATTTTGTGGTTGATTTATTTTATGGTTAACTCAGTTTTAATCTTTTCAACCTTATAATTGAAATCGTGTTAAATAAAATTCTCCTTTGTAAAATGATATATAATGAACATAAGTAAATATTACTGTATGTCTTGTAATACCTCTTGGCTATACTTCTAAACCTTATTTCTCATATTTGTTGTTATATAGAAGATTATACTGGTTCCAAAACACTAGTTAGAAGGTGTTTTTTAAGAAGGCAGCTACTAGTTTAATATATTCTTAATAGAAGGTGACGAGTACTAAAGGGGAAAAAACCTATTTGTCCCTTTTTCTAACCTCCCCCCCACTAGCACGTAAGCTCTACAATGACAGGTATTTTTCTGTTTGCTTACTGATATGTTCTTAGCATTTAGAATAAAGTATTGCACAGTAGGCATTAAATATATATTTCTTAAATGAATGAATATGTTTGCTTTTTGCCTTAAGTTTGAGCTCTTAAACAGTTTAGTATTTCTGTTCGTTGGCTATTTGAGGTTTTCCACTCTGAGCATTTTCTGTTGTATAGGCCTAGCATAAATTTTTCTGTAAACATTAAGGGTAATATTTAATATTAATAAAACTTTCTCATTACCATCAGTAATCATCAAGTAATGGGTCTTAGTTTTGAGTGTCAATATTTTATTTATAGTTTTATTTGTAACTAATTTTATTAGAAACACTGGGGCCTAAAATATACATCAGTGGAAGACAAGTTTTCCAAATGATACCAAATAGTGTCAATTTCCATTGCCTTAAAATGTGTATGTTTATCCTATGACATTTAGTTGGAACAGAAAAAAAAAATCTGTTTTTTGCATCCATATTTGTAAGTAAAATTTTAGAATGTTTCTTTTGGTCCGTGAGGTGGCTCACGCCTGTAATTCTAGCACTCTGGGAGGCCGAGGTAGGAGGATTGCTTGAGCTCAGGAGTTTGAGACCAGACTGAACAAGAGTGAGACTCTGTCTCTACTAAAAATAGAAAGCAATTAGCTGGACAACTAAAAATATATAGAAAAAATTAGCCAGGCATGGTGCCGCATGCCTGTAGTCCCAGCTACTTGGGA